CACCCTTTTTGGGATCTGTTGATCTGACAATCAGGATGACTCCTAAGTCAGGGGTCCTTGACCTCCGGGCCACGGATAGGTACTGGTCTGTGCAGTTAGGAGCCGGGCCACACAGCAGGAGGTGAGTGGCCATCGAGCAAGCAAAGCTTCTCCGTATTTACAGCCGCTCCTCAGGACTAGCATTACAGCCTGAGCTCTGCCTCCCGTCAGATTCGCAGCAGCATTAGAGTCTCACAGGAGCCATAACCCACTGTGAGCTAGCTGCGCATGCCAGAGATCGAGGGTTTGCTCTCCTTAGGATAATCGGGATGATTCAAGCACATTACATTTAATGTGCACTTTACTTCTATTATTATTATATTGTAACATATAATGAAGTTAATGATACAGCTCACCATAATGTAGAATGAGTGAAAGCCCTAAGCTAATGTCTGATGATCTCTCACTGTCTCCCGTCCCCCAGAACCCTACTGTGAACTGTGTATGTGAGGGATCTAGGTTGTATGTTCCTTAGAAGAATCTAATGTCTGATGATCTGTTACCATCTCCCACCACCCCCAGATGGGACCATCCAGTTGCAGGAAAACAAGCTTAGGGCTTTCACTGAGTTGTATAATTACTTTATTACATATTACAATGCAATAATAATAGAAATAAAGTACACAATACATGTAATGCACTTGAATCACCCGAAACCACCCCGATGCCTTGTCCAAGGGAAAACTGTCTTCCATGAAACTGGTCTCTGTTGCCAAAAAGCTTGGGGACCAGTGTCCTAAGTGACTAACAGGTAGGTAGTATATACAGCGTGAATACACTGAACTAAGTGATGATCCACATGCCGAAGGGATGAAGGCAGATGGTGGGAGATTTCATCACACCACTCAGAAGGGTGCACAAAGTCAAACATGAATTGTTTATTTCTGAAATTTTCCACTTAATATTTTTGGATCAAGGTTGACCGTGGGTAACTGAAACCGAGGAAATTAAAACCTTGGATAGGCGGGAGGACTACTGTAAAACGTTATTTTTTAAAAACGTTATTTGTTTCCTCTCCTCAAACATAAGGGGCTGAAAAGGAAATATCAGAAATGAACAATTTTAAATGTAATAATTACAAACTAGTAGTTGTAAGCCAAAAATATAATATAAACAAGTTTGAGGGCTGGTTTTCCCTACATCTCTGTACATGGACACTGCTTCAACTTGAAGGTACGGCTAATGAATTTTAACATGTTTTCAACTCAGATATTGAAAAGAGAGTGTCTGAATGCAGAGAGGAAGAACAGAAAGAAAGAGGATCCAGAGAAGAATTTGCATGAGAACATTCTTGTTCAGTTCCGGTAACTTTACTCAATGCTCTGTGCATGTTGAGTTGATTTAAGTCATGTGGCAAATGCTACAATTCCTATTCAAGAAAGGCACTGGAACAGAGTCATCATTTGATGACTACATCAAGGAAAGCTAATGACAGCCAGAAGAGATCAAAAGCAGATCAGGTTGCTTAACGGGCTACAAGTCAGTCTCTCAGAAAGCCAGGGAAGTACCCTGAGGAAATATGGAAATCTTGGGAGTGAGCAGAGAAACTAAACACAGTGGATGGTCTTATAAAATGCTAAAATGAGATTCAGTTGTCTTATTAAAAGGTCTGAGCCCTAACACATGATTTCTCAGCCTTTCCTTAGAAATAAAAATCAAGTCTTTAAGCAGAAACAGAAATGCCAGAGCCAGCAGATGAGCAACTCTATGATTATAGCTTATCTGTCTTTATCAAACTAATCACACTGCTTATTCTATTTTTACCTTATTGTGAATGGCCAAGATTTATTGGATATTTATTGTATGAAAGGTATTGACATAAATGCTTCATATGCATTATCCTATTTTCTAAAGCTTTTGATAACAACTTGCCTCTGGGAAAAAAAATGTGGCCCTTTGAATCTTCTTAAATGAATTCTTTCACTTGATCACTTAGAAGAAATCATTCTTGTCAGGAGGTCGAGGCCAGCCTGGCCAACATGGCGAAACCCTGTCTCTACTAAAAATAAAAAAAATTAGCTGGAAGCGGTGGCTTGTCCCTGTAATCCCAGCTACTTGGGAGGCTGAGGCAGGAGAGTTGCTTGAACCCAGGAGATGGGGAGGTTGAGGTTACAGTGAGCCAAGATTGCACCACTGCACTCCAGCCTGTGCCACAGAGCAAGACTCTGTCAAAAAAAAAAGAAGAAAAAAAGGAACAAAGAAAAAGAAAGAAAGAGAGAAAGAGAGAGAGAGAGAAAGAAAAAAGAAAGAAAGAAAGAGAAAGAAAGAAAGAAAGAAAGAAAGAAAGAAAGAAAGAAAGAAAGAAAGAAAGAAAGAAAGAAGGAATCATTTTGAATAGGCTACTTTGATCAAAGTAGACATTATTTCAAAGTAATTGTTCCTGAAATAACATAATCCAGTAATTTTTCATTTGACTCGCATTTAGTCAGATGGATGTATATATCTATTTATATCCCTCTCATTCCTAAAAAGGACATGAGGCAGATTCCATGCCTTGTTGATATGAAATTCTATATTTGGATATATCTTTACTTCCCAGTAACTGAATTTAAATTTCAATGTATAACATTTCCTTTCTTGTGTCACAAAACATCTTTTCCATGGAAAACCCCAAATTTTAGAAAAGCAAAAAAAAATGAGGTAAATTATGATTTGTCAGTTTTTGATCCTCAGAGTTTGACAGCTTTGTAAATAGCTCTTCAAGCTAATTCCAGTTTTTCAGAAGAGTAATGTATAATTACATTGTTTCGTGAACTATAGCGTCATTTCTCCACCTTCCCTGTGAGCTCCTCAAAGGTAACTGCCATTCTTCTGTTACTAACACAGTACTCTCACCTTGCATTTCTCAAAATATGTTTCAGTGACTACAGAACCCACGAGACAGTCTGTGAGAAAAGTGATCTTTAATGAATGGGAGAACAATTCCAAGTCCTTTTTTTTTTTTAAAGAATACCATGAAGTCCTTTTAAATTTAACTTAGCAGCTTCTACATTCATTTGGCCATGAAACTCTCCATTTCAGCAACTCTACCAAATTGTAATAAGCTATATTCAAACTGGGGAAACTACTGTGTCAGACAACTGTGATCACTGCTGGTCAAGGGCACAGGTCTTTCAGACCTGAAACTTATCTGAAAGATAAGTTCATCTTTCCCTAATATCAAGTGTAAACCTTCAGGGTTAAAATCCTCTTTTTCACCCTCTGAGATACTAAAAAAATTGCTAAGAGACTCCTTCAATATCTAATCTTCTGTGCTGCCAAATGCAGGCATTTAGCACTTGTAGGCGGCAAATGCAGAAGTGGAATTCGTGTTCAGAGGCGCTGGCTGATTGCCCTTTTCAAACCCACTATCTGGTGTGAGTTAGGTGTTTCTTTTTAGCTCCAAGTCTTGCAAGAACTTGCCATTTTCATAGTCACATGTATATTTAATACCTATAGTAAGAAGTTGTGTATTTATTATAAGAAAAGGGGATAACATTCCAAAGCGATACAACTAGAGAGAGTAAATGTAAACCCTGATATCGTTATAACAGGATCATCCAATCTTCTCCTTTATCAAATCACCTGTAAACTATGAAATCCTACCTTACAAGACGAACTATTGATTAAAGTAGGAAGTATTTTCCAGATCCCCTAGAAATGTCCCTAGCACCACATTATAGTGTGTATAAAATTTCATAAGCAAACCAAGATGCCTATCATCAGGTTGAAGTACGATAAATACTATAGCATGACGTTTTCTTTTCTGTTGCTTTCAGAATCCATTCTTAAAATTCACAGTACCATAACATTATATAAGTATAACATAGTTTTATTTATTATTATTGTAAAAAAGACAGAGTAAGTCAAGGCAGTCTTTCTTGGGCTCAGTCAATGAGTACCAACATGTAAGTCTCCAACAGGGCACATCTAAGTGACAGAATTTCAGCCCTCTTCAACAGCGATTCCTATAACCTTTGTGCTTTCACAGGACCTAGCAAATGTCTGACATGAACCAGGTCCATAATAAATGTTGTTGAATATATAAAAACTATAAGCAAGCTACATAATGTTCCTATATTCAAGGAAATCCACATAAAAAATCTGTGACTAGAATATAACGATTCTATGAATTTGAATACAGATCAGTAACTTTGAATAAACACATCTCAAAATTGGGAGTCTCTTAAAAAGTTGTCTTTTTTTTGGTTTCTGGACGGGGTAACCAGGACTTTTCTTCTCATGTAGTAACACAATATCAAATGAAAATCTCATGTAAATGTATTTACTCCTTATCTGTATGTAATATAGCAAAAAAGCAGCTCAAATAGATAGCTGAGGTGTTCACAACTCAATAAGAATATCAAGAAAGGGGATAGCAGGGATTTTACTTACAAAATCAAAACATTTGCAAACTATTTGCTTTTTTGTAAATGCTTTTAATTCTGAAATTTGAAAAATTTCAGCCTGTTATTCTCCAAAATAATTTTATATAAAACTTCTTGATTGGTAATAAAACAATATACATGTATGTGGTTTTTAAATAGAAGATATTGTGTTCCCAGGGAAGTTCATAAGCCAGAAAATCTTGGGCAAGTACACCAAAGGAAATGGGGAGGGACTATTTATCTTCTATTATAACAATGACATAATTTGTATCCAACCATGACATGACCAATATCCAAATGTTCTTGGTTATAAAATAGAAACAAAATGTAAACTTATTCTTGACAAAACAGATTGTTAATTGAAATAACCAAGATATTACTTAATAACCAAGTTTTTGATACACGTAACTTTTTAAATAACCAATGACTAAGAATATTGGCAAAATTGTTCTTTTGCCACACACACACATACACACACACACATTTAGTTCTATAAAGATAAGAAAAGCTTACTTTTCTCTCAAAACATTGAAAGTCTGCCTTCTCTCATTAAAAAGCATAAACAGAAAACATGAGTTCAGGATCGTAAGTTACCTTTCAAGTCTTTTTTCAGTTTTCTGAGATCTTTTTGAAAATCTTCAAACTTCATCTGTGAGGCCTGAAAAAGGTCCTGGGGTTCTGGCAGTGGGAACAGACACTGTTCTTTTCCAGCATCCTAATGAACAAAAAACCCCATCATATTTAAAGGAATTGGTTATCAATATAAAAAAGAATAATAGCAGATATGTTCAGAACAAAAACAACAAAAAGCACTGCCAGATCATCCAACAAATAAAGAATAACGGAATATGACTAGATGTAAACATTGTCTTACCTCGTCAAAATTTCGGAGATAATACGAAACAATATATGACAAAAGGCTTCTGCTATTGTCCTAGGCAGAAAGAGCAAAGTCAGTGACAATATATTTTTTAGCTGATTAAATATAAAGTGTTACCAAAAAAGATCCTAGTGAATTCATGTATATACATACATGAGAACATTTGGAATGACGTGAAATTTTACATTTTGAATTGTCTTGGCCATTGTGTCTAAGGAGTTTGGTGGCATAAAAGATTTTTCTCCTCAGGGTTCCAATCTCAGCACAGCTATTTAGGGTCAAAGTCTGAACTGTAAATACTTTCCAATTGTTACCCTTCTCAATTAGAAACTTAGCTCATGTCTTATTATTATCAAGTGTGTTTTATTATTTTGTGTTTTTATTATGTTTTCATTTGATTATTATTTTTTATGTTTTAAAACTACTACCTTAAAGGAAATAATTAAATACTGTTAGCATTGATATATAGCTGGGCTAATAGGTACCACTCCAACACTAAGTTTAATTGTGGCTCATTAGCATATAGGTTACGGAAATAAAAAAGCTAAGTATCATTGTAAGTAAAGGGGAGCTTTTAACAGTTCCAATGCTACAATTTGTTATATCAGCAACTGAGATTGAGGAATTAATACTCATGTGGTTATAAATAAGACAATGTGGATGGTTCTATTTAACAAAAGGTAAAGTTGTTTCATATCTGACACTTCAAAGAATAGCTTTTCACCTTCTTTCTGGTTTATTTAGGGGCAATAATTTTTATTTAACTTTTTTTTTTTTTGCTACAAAGTAATAATAGATAATCTGAAATTGAGAGCTCAACTATATATTTTGCTTCAAAAACAAACTCTATGATACAAACTACATTCTCTGGACTGTTTAACATAACCATGACTTCTTCTATATGTATAAAAAGAGCAAAAACTGTTTATAATCAAGTTTGACATGAGTCAGTAATATAGCTATTAGAGACATCCCTCATTAGACAGGATTTGCTTGTAAAATGATTTAAGCAACTTGACCTCCTTTTTCTCTCCCAACTTGTAATTCAATGCAACAGTTGGCAGAACCTGAATCAATTAACAAAACTAGGCATACGGAGAGAAAATTCTAAGTGATCAAAGTAACAGCTCTGTCCGTGGAGGTCTATAAATAGTACCGAGGAATAAGTAGAGTTACATTTGTTTTACAGAGAAGAACCAATCCAGAAAGACTTTGCATAGCTCTTCTGAGTACAAGTGAAACAATTTTAAAAAGGTATTTCTTAATTACATATTTAAATTTTTATTTTAGATTACCCCTTGATTATTTAAACTAATCAAATTTAACTTAGTAGAGGATTGAATAAGTTATATAAACTGATACCAAAAAGATCCCACAAATAATCTTTTATTTGTATATGATCACTAGAAACTATTTCCAGTTCATTTTTATAATTTAAACATGATATTGCTGTTATATATTTCAATATTATTTGCAAAAGTTGTTTTACTCCAACAAGCAGTTGCTGAGTTTTCAAGAATTACCATAGGTTAAGCAAAGGTCTTTTCTCTTTTCTTTTCCCTCTCTCCCCCTTTTTTTTAGAAGGGGCCTCACTGTATTGCCCAGGTTGGCCTTGAAAAATCCTCCCAAGTAGCTGGGATTATGGGCTCACGCTATTGCACTTGGTGTAAGCATTTTTTTTTTAAACAAACATAATCTATCAGGTCTCTATGTTAGAGATTTCTATGAAAATGTGAACAAACAACCATAAAAATAAAAAAAATCATATGTGTACCAAGGAGGGACTATGAATTATTCAATCTTGGAAAGGCAGTGTCCGGATTCCATAAATGCTCAGAGAAAGAATGCTGAATATCTGTATTAAATTGACCCCCCTACACACACACACACATGCACACACACATGCACACGCACACACACACACACACACACACACACACACACACACAGTCTCTGACTTATGATGGGTCATCTTACAATTTTTCAACTTTACAATGGTACAAAAGTGATACACATTCAGTAGAAACTGTACTTCAAGTACCCACACAACCGTTCTGTTTTTCACTTGCAGCACAGGATTCAATAAATTACATGTGACATTCTGCCGTTTATTATAAAATAGCCTTTGTGTTAGATGAGTTGCCCAACTGTAGGCTAAAAGTGTTCTGAGCATGTTTGAGGTAGGCAAGGCTACACTTTGATGTTTGCTACGTTAGATGTACTGAATGCCTTTTCACATATGGTATTTTCAATTTAGGATGGGTTTATCAGGTCGTAACCCCATGGTAAGTTGAGAATCATCTGTACATGGGACAATAAACAAATTTTTGGCTGACAGAAAAGATTTTAAAAAGTCTCTTTCTCTCATGAAGGAAATTATTTCATTATCTAGGAAGGACAATCCTATCTACTTTCATTTCTACAAGCCAATTATTAAACTTAATATTTAAAAAACATGCCAGAATTTCCTTTATCCTTCTTTTGTGTGGGATGATTCTTTTATCGAGGAAAGTAACTCTTTTAATTTTTGAGTTTACCATCTGAGATTTAAGTCTTGACTCTTACCATCATTCCTAACCTCATATTTCTGCTTGCACTCTCACAATTGCTTAGATATTAATTTAAAACAAACAGAACTGCAGAAGCAGTACCACAAATTAGGTCTGCAAAAGGGCTTCTATCCCCACACACACCAGTATCATGAAGAGAATGCTGCACAGAAGAGTAGAATCATCTTTTATATTTTATTTACAAGCCATTTTAATCATCTTTGTGCTATTTTCAAAATATGGACCTGTTGGCGTCCATTGCTTAACATGGCAAAGAAAAAAATGCGAGATACACTGTGTAAGTCATAGAAAATAATTAGCCTTCAGATTCCAAAACACGGGAAAGATACAGTAAAATAAATTATTGTTTTTACATTAAAACTATATATATTCTTTTATCACAGAAATGTAACTCTTTTATTTTTTGAGTTTACCATCTCAGCCTTGAGTCTGTGACTCTTACCATCATTTCTAACCTCATATTTCTACTGGCACCCTTACAATTGCTTACTATTAATTTCAAACCATCACAACTGCAGAAGCAGGACCAAAAAATAGTTAGGTCTGCAAAAGGGCTTAGACATTCCCCTGCACACCAGTATCAAGTTTTCCATTAAAGTGTTTCTATTAAAACAATCGTTTTATATTAAAATAATATAAAATTACTTTTTATATTGTTTTTATATTAAAAGTTGTAATTATTCATTAGACATAAATATTATTCACATTAGGAAACATTATTCATCACTACATCACAAATATCTGACGGACATTACTTTTTTCTAGCTCAGAACATAAAGAAACATCGGACCTAGGAACCTAAAAGAAATATTTATTACAACTGCTTTACATTCAAACCTATTACTAAACAAAACATGGAATTCTCAATTTGCTTCCGTCCACTCATGCAAAATACTTACACTGCTCTTGACGTCTTTCAGCTTTGGAAGAATGTCCAATCCAAAGCCATCTGCCTGTCCTCGAGTCTTATTGCCTCCATTCATGTAGTTGCCAAAGGCAAGAACCAAACCTAGAACCTGCATAACCCCTGGGCCATTTTTTAATGTCTGTAAAACAGAATAACAACAATAAAAAAACAACTTTTATTTTATGCAAGGTTTTGTTTGAATCATCTCAAGTCGCTGCCAGCTGTTTATATTGCATAAGTAGTTTTGGGTCACGACCAGGCTTTATGATTTCTAATTATTAGTTATATTTTAAGAAAAGTATCTTGAAAGTTAATGAAAGTTGCACCACCCACAAATACTCAGGTATGCCTTTGTAAGCTGAGAGATGCTATGCTAGGCCATTTCTATGATCTAATTTCTAGGAAAACAAATAACGCTGTATGAGAACTATTAAGGCTACATGAAAACTATTAAGGCTACATGGGAACTAAGGCTATATGAGAACAAATAAGGCCAAATGAGAAGTATTACAAAATAATATCACCAACATCACTGCCATTGTCTTAATTGTGCCTATGTGTGGAACAATGCGAATTTTTGGCATCAGCAAAGGAAACCAAAAAGCAGTTTCAGAGATTAACTTCTAAATTTAGGTTTACCCCCAAAGAGTTCACACTCATTTCTTTCAAAACACTGTTTAACTTGAATTTGCATGTCACGTCTTCTGAAAGTGTGAGCCTTTAAAAACATCTTTTCACTTTTCAAAATCATTTGCCACAACTAGAACAAATGGTACTGATATTTGACAAATCATTTTAAATGTTAATACTGGTCATTTCTGCCAAGCATTTATTTTTTGTTTTCAGAATAACATGTATCTTCTATTGAGTCATATGGCTGTTCCTAAATTACTTGGCTGGAATAATTATTAACAATTTGTGGAGGGGTCCTTCCAGATAAAGAAAGAAAGAAAATGCCTTCGAATTACATTTCTTTGGAAGTCTGATGTCTGAGAGGTCCGTGAAAACTGAAAATTTTGTTTTGGCAAAAGGAGAAGGCAGAGAAGTTTCTGGAGGCCAACATGTGCTGGCTACATTCTAGCAATATGGCCCTGCAGCCCCAGGTGCCCATCAGAACATTTGCTTTGATCTTGAAGCTCAATCATAAAATGTTCCCTTCGGCCGGGCGCGGTGGCTCACGCCTGTAATACCAGCACTTTGGGAGGCCGAGGCGGGTGGATCACGAGGTCAAGAGATCGAGACCATCCTGGTCAACATGGTGAAACCCTGTCTCTACTAAAAATACAAAAAATCAGCTGAGCGT